TATAGTTTAGTTTTCTCCTTTGTTCTTTGTTTCTTCTTCCTTCCAGAACTTTCTTTTTTAACTCTTTTCCCTTGGATGGGGTGACCAATTCTTGGAACCATGGGGAAAAATGAAAGAAAAGACGCTCTGGGGTCGGTGAGATAAGGGAAAGACATTCTTTGGCCCAGACCTCAAGGTGGACAGACGTCGAATGTGGTGCTCCAGGTTGCAAATGGCAATGACTGGAGAATTTGAGAGAGTTTGAGAAGAGAATTGGATTTTTATCATAGTTATGATAAAAAGGTGTAGTAACAAGGTGCAAGGAGAAACCTAGTGAAGACAATGACAACAGACTTTTCAGAAAAAATTCAACATGGTATCCCACCCAAAATTGTGAAGTCCAGCAAAACCCCGGGTATTTAACTCCTTACTGTATTCTATTTTCCTAGATTTTCTATTTCCTATTATTTTTCTTTCCCTAGTTTTAAGTTAGCACATAAGTATTAGTCATAGTTTTCGGTCACCATTTATATCTGTCGTAAACGGTACGTTTTGTCATTGTCTGCTGAAATATTGTTTGATGCCATATTGTGATAAATTACTGTGGAGTTGGAATTTGAAAAAAAAACCTCTTCATATATGCAAAATAAAATACTTTGTTTGACCATACTGTCAGTTATTGATACGTCTTTCCTTTGTCGGTCTATGTACATTTTGCGTGAACTTCACAGTGGTTACTAGTGATGTCACAAGACCTACTCTTGTTATCAATTTCTTCTGTTTTGTAGTAATTGCTACAACATGTTTTGTGAATACAAAATGTAAAATATTGTTATTTTCAGTAATTTTATGATATTGGAGAAGTACTATATCATATCTTATGAAATATTTGTGAATTTAGACCTTGGGTGTTAGCTTGTAGTGATGATATCATGTTTTATCCCAGCTACAGTATGCCTTAAAAACACACTGCCTTCAGCACAACATTGCAGATGTTCCAGTGTGCTTCATATGCAATATTGTTTTTGATCATCAGTTAACAGTTGTGTAATAATAATAAACAACGCTTTTTGCCCGCGACTGTAAATTACACAGAATTAGATAACCCAACAATTAGGGTATAATGTTTTGCAGGGCTTATCACACCAAGGCTGACTGGAAGAAGGACCAGAACTTTATAAAAAAGGTTTGGTCTTTAATAATCACATATCAAATTTAGGTAAGTATGCATTTCGGGTACAAGGACCCCTCATCAGCTTACAAACACATGGCAACAACGTAATAAATATAATACCAATAACCTGTCGGTACAACGGGGTAATCAACATATGCAGTGCACTGCATTTACAAATTATCAAAGTAACTTATACACTAAAACTAAATTATCAAGTATAAATCAGCATCCAATGACAATGTGGTATCACATATTATCTCCACCCGTAAATGTCTTAGTTTCTCCTACATTTTCCAAATTCTGGTAGACGGTTACACTATTAATAATAAATATTGTTAAGTATATTAAAACCTAAACAAAAGGAGGGGAGAGGAATCCAACAATGAACTTACTCTTATTAAACCAATTGGTCTCCAAATTTTAACACAAAACAAAATACAACTAATCTATAAGCCTTTGTGAAGTCAACTGCACTGTCCATCTGCATTTTACAAGGTGATGTGCCTAAACTCCCCACATCTGTTCAGCATCTGTTTCAAGGTTAAGTGAAAACAATGTCAATCCACCCCTCATGTAGCTTCAGTCCCATGTTGTTATTAATTCTGATGTCTTCCTGTATCTTCAGAATTTCTAGGTGTTCCTGTAGTCTTCTTTTAAGTTGATTGTTTTCTGTCATAATACACTTGATGCTATCTTTTAAAATTTCACAACCTTCAGTGTTGCAATGTTGTGCCACTGATGATGATATTAAATTATTTTTGATGGCATATATATGTTCTTTAATTCTTGTCTTTAATTTTCTACCAGTTTCCCCTACACATCTTTTTTTATGTGAACAACTGCAATCTAATGAGTAAACTACATTATCTTTTTCTAAAACATTATGTTCAATGTTACCATGTTTACTGTTTAGCAAATTTGCTATGGTGCTTTTGTGGTTTGGTACTAAAATAATATCTAATCTTTTTAATTCATTTTTAATTTTTCAAAAACACCAAAAACATATTCTATTTTTAGGTACACAGTCTTAACATCTATTGGTTGTCTATTTAACAATATATTTTTCCTTTTGCCTTTACTTGCTTCCAACCACTTAATAATGTTCTAGGGTAATTATTTAGATTAAACATTCTTATTATATTTTGTATTTCCATTTCTTGATCAGTGTGCAAGGTCGTTCTTTCTTTAATTTTGTTGATATACATTTGAAAAGTGTTCTTTTTTACATATAATCCAGGGCATAATAACCCAGGGCATAACCCAGGGCATAATAAGTTACCAAAGATATGTAGATGACTGTTTCATCATCTATGATAAAAGCATACTAGATATTGACTCTTTTGTTTGTGGGATTAATTTAATAAATAAAAATGTCCAATTTCAATGTGAAAAAGAAGTAGATAATAGACTGAATTACTTAGATCTTACTGTTGTTAGATTAAATGGCAAATTATTATTTAAAAAATATGTTAAAGACTGGGCTACTGATAAAGTTATTGACTTCAAATCTAATATACCTTTATATATAAAAAAGAACACTTTTCAAATGTATATCAACAAAATTAAAGAAAGAACGACCTTGCACACTGATCAAGAAATGGAAATACAAAATATAATAAGAATGTTTAATCTAAATAATTACCCTAGAACATTATTAAGTGGTTGGAAGCAAGTAAAGGCAAAAGGAAAAATATATTGTTAAATAGACAACCAATAGATGTTAAGACTGTGTACCTAAAAATAGAATATGTTTTTGGTGTTTTTGAAAAATTAAAAATGAATTAAAAAGATTAGATATTATTTTAGTACCAAACCACAAAAGCACCATAGCAAATTTGCTAAACAGTAAACATGGTAACATTGAACATAATGTTTTAGAAAAAGATAATGTAGTTTACTCATTAGATTGCAGTTGTTCACATAAAAAAAGATGTGTAGGGGAAACTGGTAGAAAATTAAAGACAAGAATTAAAGAACATATATATGCCATCAAAAATAATTTAATATCATCATCAGTGGCACAACATTGCAACACTGAAGGTTGTGAAATTTTAAAAGATAGCATCAAGTGTATTATGACAGAAAACAATCAACTTAAAAGAAGACTACAGGAACACCTAGAAATTCTGAAGATACAGGAAGACATCAGAATTAATAACAACATGGGACTGAAGCTACATGAGGGGTGGATTAACATTGTTTTCACTTAACCTTGAAACAGATGCTGAACAGATGTGGGGAGTTTAAGCACATCACCTTGTAAAATGCAGATGGACAGTGCAGTTGACTTCACAAAGGCTTATAGATTAGTTGTATTTTGTTTCGTGTTAAAATTTGGAGACCAATTGGTTTAATAAGAGTAAGTTCATTGTTGGATTCCTCTCCCCTCCTTTTGTTTAGGTTTTAATATACTTAACAATATTTATTATTAATAGTGTAACCGTCTACCAGAATTTGGAAAATGTAGGAGAAACTAAGACATTTACGGGTGGAGATAATATGTGATACCACATTGTCATTGGATGCTGATTTATACTTGATAATTTAGTTTTAGTGTATAAGTTACTTTGATAATTTGTAAATGCAGTGCACTGCATATGTTGATTACCCCGTTATACCGACAGGTTATTGGCATTGTATTTGTTACGTTGTTGCCATGTGTTTGTAAGCTGATGAGGGGTCCTTGTACCCGAAATGCATACTTACCTAAATTTGATATGTGATTATTAAAGACCAAAACTTTTTTATAAAGTTCTGGTCCTTCTTCCAGTCGGCCTTGGTGTGATAAGCCCTGCAAAACGTTATACCCTAATTGTTGGGTTATCTAATTCTGTCTAATTAACAGTTGTGTGCTATCCATTGTGAAAAACCTGATAGTTAAGCCTTTGCTGAATAGTGATTTGAATTGATATCAAAGCTGATATCTTGAAGAACTTGGTAACAAGGCAAGCATATAGTCTACCAATGGTCTAACTAAATGGCAATGATAACGTCATTAGTAAGTGTTAGACTTGTTAAGCTTGTGGAAATTGTGATATAACTGGTTAAACTTGTAGAACTGATTACATGAACAAAGAACAGAAATTGCACAAAAAATTACCCAACTTCTGTAATGGAAGGTCAGTGCTAGAAAGAGGAGAATAAAATGAGGTCACCATGATTAATTGCTCTCTAAGGGATTACCTACATTACACCAGCATTACCTACATTTCATTATGTAACAGAAAAACTTTACAAAATTGTTATGATGTAATGCAATATTCACATTGACACAACAGTCATCAACAACTTCAATTGTATTTTAACAGTAAGAACAACATTTGCCTGGTTGGAACATGGTAAATCACTTGTGCTGGTTTGATTGCTACTGATTACTTCAAACTTGATCTTCCAGTTCTGTTTTTGCAACACACTTTTTTCCATGTAATGTCTGTTTTCTGTGGTGAATCTAGGTTTGCTGATATCCTTAAGCATTTAAAAATTGAATCCTCACCTGTTAGTCTTCTTTGGACAAATTATTTGATATGTCATATTAAGTGAAATTTTCTGCTCACTGTGTAATGCCTGCAACCAAATGACTAATTTTCCTCAAGATGATATCTTACTCCTTCACCAGCACTATCTTACAACATTGTGTTCAATGTCCATCTTGAGGTTCTCTTGTGGTTTGCCTTGAGTGAGTTTTATTTGATCAAGTCTGATACATGCCTACATAATCTTGTATGAAGCATTTATAGTTTTTAAATTATTGAAATATTCATTATAAATTAAGAAATTTATTAATAAAAAGATATAATAATTCAGTATGTATGTAATTATATGTGACTGACTTTTTTTATATATTTAGAGGTGAATACTATGTATATTCAGACAACGATAGACCACCAACAGTAGAGAAAAGAGAATGGAAACAACAAGCTTTTCATTATGATAACGTGATGGCTGCTATGTTAACATTATTTACTGTTCAAACAGGAGAAGGTTGGCCACTGTAAGTAAAAGCTATTTCTATTTATGTAACATAATTTCAATATACAAGGAATAAACTTTAATTTCTTATAACAAATAAAATCCAACTCTGCTTTATTGAAATTTACAAACTTAAATTTAAAACTCAAATTATTGTTTCTCAAGCACTTTTAGGCAACTAAATCCATCATCTGGAGAACAACTATGAGCTAACTTCTTTACACAATTATTTGTGGCAGTTCACTTTCAATCTTTATGACATACTTCAAACTCATCAGGAAGTGAACAAACACAGATAAATTTGTAGAGAAGTTAGCTTGTTCTGATTATGGGCATGATTGTCCAAACGTACTTAAGAAATTTAGCTTATGAGATGCAATAAAGCATAATTTGGATTTTATTTGTTTTAATTTTAATAATTTTTTTTATTATAATAAGTTAAATTTTATTTTTAAGTATCAAACAGTGTTCTTAAGGACTGCTTTGCAAAGTAATGAGACAATGAAATTATTATGAAAATAATTATACGCTTGCATGCAATTCAAATTTATTTAATTATAATTAATAATCAAATAAAATTATTTTTAAACTTGAAAATATTATAGTAACTTTGTTAATTTTTGAATTTCTATTAATAACAGATTTATGAAATATGTGGAGTAAATGCAGCTAATATGGACCACCATGTTATCTTTGACATTACTTCCATGTAATTGTTGCAATTGAACTAACATTATGATGCAAGGTGCAAAAACTGATACCCAATTATATCACAACACATCTATATTAATCTATATTAGTTTCAGCATAAAAAGCTGTAATGTCAAAAAACTTAAAATGAAGGTAATATGAACCACTGTGGTCCATATTATCTGCACATAATTCACATTATAAGGATGCTTCTAGAAACACACAAAGTCACTATTTCTACAAAATTTACACAGAAATGTGTCTTCCTTCTGCACTAGCAAATAATTCAATGATGTGTCCAATGCTGACACTTCTGACACTGGATCCATTCCTCACCAGCCTGATAGCAGCAGAATAACTAGAGTTGCACTATTCTTTTCCTTCTAGTTTTGCAAGAAATAATCAAAAAAACAGTAAAAGGAATACCACAAACATGTCTAGTAATATGGACTATACCAGTGCAAAATTTGCTGATGAAATGGATTATGGTCCGTATCACCTGCAACTTTAAAACCAATTCTTAGCACCTATCAAACAGCAGGTGTGACTTTAACACTGAATGGATAATCAAGAACAACAACACAGCAAACTACCAAAAATTATGATATTTGGCAACATATCAGTTCAGCAGTTAAATGGGCTATGGTATCATTGACCAAAGTTGAATGGCACAAAAAACATCTTAGCCTCTTATCCATCTTCTCATTGAGTGGCAGTCATTTTCAGCATATAGGGGCAAGGGGGATGAAAGTATGTGTCATGCTATTGCTCTCTGAAAGATGGCATGTCACATGCCATCTTGCAGAGGAGGAGCTAAATTTATCTTTTGCCTGACAGACCCTTATGGATGCTGATGTTTAATTATTACCATCCGTGCACATAATGTGCATGCTCATCGTAACAAATCTTGTCAAGCTTTCGTTTGATTTAATTTGAGTATTCACATTCTATTTTGATGTGTTCCATTGATTATTCAGTATATTTTACTTGAGGAAGAACTATTTAATGGTTCAAAAAATGATAGTGATAAACTGTATTATTCACAAAGTACACCGGTAACAGATTCTGGACAAAGTGTTGAATAAAAACCTTTCGTCTGTTTCCGTTTTGTGTTTCTTGTTCTTCATGTGCTATTTTTTCATCTAGTGGTAGAAGTTTGAACTAATTATTATTATTATTATTATTATTTTGTTTTTGCATTTTCTTTTTCCCCATAACATATATACCAAGTTTCATCAAAAAATGTCAATGAGAACAGACTCTATACAGGTTGATTAGGGCAACTTTAATTATAACCACCTTCTATGATTAAAGATAGATTTTTTTAAACCTTAGAATAGTGATGCAGGCTGCTTCTGTAAGAAGCTGATGTATGTCATCAGCTTTCTACACAGCATTCATTTAAATCAGCGGTTCTTAACCTTTTTAGTGGTCAGCATCCCCTTGAATCTGAAAATGAGCTCTTGTACCTCCTTAAAAAATGTGTGTATATCTTTTATTTAAGAAAAAACATTTCATAAACAAATGTTGTGTTTATTTACAATATATATTACTATATAACATAAAAAGCAATATTTAAATTTTAATGGCTAGGTTTTTGTTGTTTATTCATAATAATTCTATTAAAACAAGGCTCTTTTTTTGAAAGAACCATGTGTAAGTCATCACATGCATTTAAGAATTTTCTGGCATTTGTTTTGATGTGTAAAAGTGCTGTATTCGAGGTATGCGAACACATCTCAACTAGTTTCTGTATTGCATGTGACAATGTGACTACATTAACTGCATGTTCTGACAACTGATGACAAACGCTATGTGCTGAGAGACGGTAGAGTAGAGAATGTAGAAGTGAGACGGTAGAGAATGAAGAAGTGGGGTGCTGTGTTGCCAGGTACCATGGTTTGTAGAGAACACGATTGCCTTGTTCATATTTGTTTTTTTTTTTTTTTTTTAATTTTTGAAATTTCTCTTGCACTTCTGGAAATGCTCTCTCCCACCCCCAGGGGTGCACGCACCCTAGATTAAGAACCGCTGATTTAAATGGACTGCTCTACTATTTTCTGCTCTGTTAACAGGAGTCCTGCCAGCTATGTGTAAAATGGGAGATCTGGAATATGGAAGAGTGTTCTTTTAAGCAATCTTTTCTCTTATTTGATGTGTTATTTATGTACAAGATATAGCGGAATTTTATACCTATGTCCAGAACTTAAGAACATACACAATTATTGTAGTGATAGCTAGAAAAAGTCTTGGTGATGAGCCTGCCATGTTATGAGTGCTGCATTGTAGTTTGAGATGGACATGTTCTTACTGACAGGTCTTTCTGTCTGTTGTATTGGTAAGCACTTTCCATCCATTCTTTGTTTATGTCCATTTGCTGTATGTATCTTTTTCACCAAAGGCTTACTTTTATTGCTTTGATTTGTAAAATCTTACAAGTTTTTGTGTGTTATCCTGTGTTAGATAGTTCTTGCAATATTTGTCTGCATTCATCTTTGATTCTCTTTGTTTATGTACAAATGTCATTCATCTTTATGTTTTGGACACATATATAGTAGAGCATCAATTATCCGACCCCCGATTAACCGTCACATCGGTTAACTGACTGTTCTAGTCGGCAAATTTCAAATGTCCGCTAGTGATGTGGCACTACAATATTTGGCTATGTCTTGGATACTTTAATATTATTTTTGTTAAATTTTTGCGTGTTTTAACTGGCAACATCGGTTTTACCATAGAAGGGAGGCCAGTATTTAAACGAGACTTAATTTTCTAATTATGAGTGGTTATTTGTTTTGTGAGTAATAAAATAATTTAAAAATAATTTTAACGATACAATAGTGACGATTATTATTTTAAAAAAATATTTGTTAGGCTTAACATCGATGAAAATTCAACGTGAAGTTGGTTAATAGCGATATACTAATATACTAATTATATGGGATATACTAATATACTATACTAATAATGTATTTTTTCATTCTTTTCGGTTATCCGATTTTTTCAGTTATCCAACCAACCTGAGTCCCCAATTGAGTCGGATAATCGATGCTCTACTGTAGTATCACATTCTTCAGAGATGTGAAAAATTTGAAATAATTTACATTCCTCAATGATTAGTTACAATATTCTAGAATATAACTTTTTTTAAGCATAATGTACATTTTCTGGTGATTAATTAAGGCAAAATCAAAACAGGATATTCATGATTGTCAAAAATACAGATTATTGTATGGTTATGAATCTTTCTCTCTGTGATTTGTTCTAGCATAATTCATATCTCTAATAATTATATCTATTTTTATTTTTTGGGCTGCAATTTGAAAAAAATTGTAGACCTATAAATTCCCATTGTTGTCCACCTGTCTGTCCTTCCTTAATCTCGAGTTGGAGTTAAATACATGAAATTCAAGACCAGATGTAAAAAGCTAAGGGGTAAGAGGCTCCGATATATGAACTTTCAATGCAAACTAGAAGTCACGTTATTTCAATTAAAAAATTTTCCCCTGAAAGGAGTTAGATAGATGACTGGATAGGTTGTTGTTGTTTATTCATAATAATTCTATTAAAACAAGGCTTTTTTTTTGAAAGAACCATGTGTAAGTCATCAGATGCATTTAAGAGATTTAACAATGTCATTGTTAATGGAAAAGTATGATGTACAGGGGCAAGACACTACAGTACTAATTTGAGGTGGAGAGTATACATTTTAAATGAAATAAATTAAAAATATGATTAAAATTTGCAGTCTGACATTGAAGCGATGTCACAATAAATAATTGCTCATGTTTTATGTAATTAATCTCTAAAACAAATTTTAATTTTTATGAAAGTTCTATTTTTGGATTATTGTAAACAAAAATTTTATTGGTAAAACTTTTATGTATGTTATATTCATTTATTTTTAAACATTTCATAGAATTTTTTTTATATTAATCTATTTATAAATTGTGAATATATAAAAAAATTTTTAACATTTCCAATATAAAGGCAAATTTATATTAGCAAATAAATTCTTCAAGTTTATAGTAAAAATTTGAAACTTTTACATGTTAGATGAATGTATTACCAATCACAAAATCTAGATAAAACTATATGTAATGTTATGTAATAAGTAATGTTGAATGATTATAGTTAATTAATAAAGAAGTAGATTTTATGAATTATGAAAGTTAAAATAATTGGTGTCATCCTATTACATAAAATTTTATCTAGATTTGTGAGAATTTTAGATAGACATATAACTGTTAACTGTTATAGCTATTTTTCACAATGCTGATAGAATATATAACAGTAGGATTTAAAATTCTTGAAAGGTCATCATTATAATTCAGACATTTTTTTTAACTTTTTGATTTTAATTTTAATTATACAGAGAATATGATATTATCTTAAAAACTCAAACTAAGTTTGTTGGAAATACCAGATATATACTTGTAGGCATTATATTCATGGCATTTATTTGAACAGCAAAGAAGTAATGTTGAATGATTATAGATAATTAATAAAGTAGTAGTTTTATGAATTATAAAGTTAAAATAAATTTAGTAAATGACTTATAACATCAGTTTTTAATTCCAGTTGATATCCAACATATAAAATTTTTTTTCTTAAAAAATTTGTCCAAAATCTCATGAAATGAACATTATTTGTTTCATCAAAATTGTTGCATTGTCATTTTGAGGATAACAGGTGTAGTTCAATATATATCACATCTTCACATGCCGTAATAATTACTAGAAGATTAAGGTGTTTTGACCAGTTATATATTGAGATTAAAGAAATGGAACAGAAGCAAAATATAAATTATAGACCATAAAAAAAAAATCAGGTATAACTGGTTGAAAAGGTCAAGGATGGTCACTGCATTGTATAAAAAATAAATATGTTTATTAATTCAAACAGATTATCATGACTCTAATTCACTATGATTACAAATAGGCTATGGCATATACAGTTTAATTAAATAAGTATGTTATATAAAACTAGCTCCCAAAACTCTTTTGTATCAATATCTTCAAGAACATTTAACATTGATAAAAAAAATGACCATGATAACATTATCAACCCTTGGATTGGAGATGGACATCTGCACCCATCTGGACCATATGAGAAAATCACACATATGGCACTTGGAAAAAATTGAAATTTATAAAGCATCAAAGGAGGACTCTTCCATCAACCCATCAACTATAAAGACAGCAACTCCCTTGCACAGGCTTGGAGGCTCTTGTTTGTGCTCCAAAATACCTCATTACAAGGCCAGTCACATTGCAGTTATCACTGACAAATCAGAACACTGAGTCTTTGGATGTGAAGTGTAAGTTCATTGTATTGATATGGTGTTTGAGTATTGTTGACATACCTGTACTTTAAAATCTCTGCAAGTATTGATCAGTATATGATATGTGACCATTTACTGTATACCACCTACATGATCTGTAGGTGTAATCTTGAGTAAATTGAAACACAAGGTGTTGCAATTTTTTTTGTCAGTGTATTATCACCTGTGTCATTTTTCAATGAAATACGTTTAGTTGGTATTTGCTCAGAAATAGAAATTTGATGCCAGCATACTGTTCTTGTAGATATTAGCAGTGCCGGCCTGAGGCAAGTTTTAGGATGGAGCAAGATCCTATTATGGTGCCTGGGGGTGGAACCTCGCCCACGCACTTGACCCATGCACGTCTCAACAGATAAGGCCATTCACATACTGGCCACATGCTTGCAATTAGAATATTGAAAAGTGAAAAAAAAATTTTTTCCTTTAATTTTTTTACCACTGAGGTGCCCCATAGGACTTAGCGCCTGGAGCAGCTACTCCATTCGCCCTATGGTAGGGCCGGCTCTGGATATTAGATTCAAATACCTTCTTGGTAGGGTTTTATGTCATGTGTTGCCAATTTGTAGCTTACTTGTTTAACGGGCTATTCATTAATTACTTGTGCAGTTTTTGAGCTACTTGTGACTCCCTTTATTTCTTGTGTACATTGATATTTTTTCAACCCCAACTCTCTTAAACTGTACTATAATTAAAGGATAACTTCTAACAATCAAAAACCATTATTATGTAGATTTGTGATTATTATTGTGTATTAATATTTACTTTTTTAAAAAAATTAGGAAATTTTATAACTTGAATGCATTGTATGCTAATGTGTGCTATAAAGAGAACTGCAGGCAGAGTACTATATTATAGGAATTAAAAAACTTTTGATGACAATAGTGAATTATAAAAATCATTGAATTCTTGATTATATCAGCATCATAAATTCTAGACTTTATAATCAAAAATAATAATCAGTTTTGAAACTTTATATTGATGGTGGACTGAAATTAATATTTAGTTTACATATTAGTTTTATATTATATTAAATAAAATAAATGCTTTTTATTTATAGTGTTTTGCAAAGTTCCATGGATTCAACATATGAAGATCAAGGCCCATTGCCCCGTTTTAGAGTTGAAATGGCCATTTTTTATGTCATATTTTTTGTAGTGTTTCCATTTTTCTTTGTTAACATCTTTGTTGCATTAATTATCATCACTTTTCAAGAACAAGGTGAAAAAGAATTAGAAGAAGGTGATTTAGATAAGAATCAGGTGATATTTTAAACTTTATTGTTTTTTGTAATAACTAAAATTTCATTATACAGTAGACTCACTGTACTGCAAAATGATGATTTAGCAACTCGCCATGATATGAGGCATATTCATAAAGTAAAGATACAAAGTCCAGAAAGTATTTCTAAAGAATTTTAATTTTAGATTGATTTATAATACTTTTGGAACATTTTTATTTATTTTTCAACATAGTTACCATGGATCTCAATGCATTTGATGAGCCTGGAAATGAGTTTCTTAATGCTGACATTGTAGAAATCTTTCACCTGACCTCGTCATCACCCTGTCTTTTAACCTTTTCATTATCGTCAAATTTCTTATCTGAGAGATGTTCCTTCAACTTTGGAAACAAGTGATAATCACTTGGTGCGATATATGGGCTATTTGATGAATGTTTTAAAACTTTCCACTTGAATGTCTGCAACAATTTTTGTGTGATGCATGCAGATTGCAGACTGGTGTTATCATGCAGTAGGACACTATTTTGTAATGTTTTGCCTGTTCATAATATTTTCAGCATTCTCCTTTCACACGAAGGAATCAAATACTGAATGAACTTTGCACTTGGTGGGATTACAAATTGACTTGGCCATTTTAAACACACACTGCAAGCATAATGATGATGCAATTAAAGTCAAGCAACTTCTGTCACATAACTCAGACCCCAACAGACACTGTACTGCAGCAAACTGAAAAAATAATTTTCTTTGATTTCTACTTGCTTTGTATCTTTACTTTCCAAATATGCCTCATACAATGATCAATGGAGTCCTGGCCAATCTCTCATAAGCATAATACTATTTTATTATTGATACTAGCTGTACCTCACCATGCGTTGCTATGGTTCAAAATGTATCTATTATAAGTGTATAACACTCCCCACGGGAGGGAATTTCGAAAAATCCCTTCTTAGTGTACATTCTCTTGATGTACCTTATTAAAATGCAATCAAAAATGCAAAAAACCGCATCTAAAGTAGAATAATGGAAGACCAGTTCTTTGCGGTAAGCCTTAATTTTGTCCCTCTCCCCCATAGGGGAAATTTTGACATCAATATAATATAAAAATACGTGTATTCGAATTCAATGTTGTGTCAAAATTTCAAAGCAATTGGTTAAGAACTTTTGGAGATTTATGATTTTGAACAAACGAACATTTACATTTTTATTTATATAGATAATGACCTTGTAAATTGTTGAAATTTCATTAGAGATATTTTTGAAACATTAGAACAACAAACATTAAAGTAAAAATGAATTGCCCATGTAGGTGAAAATATTCCTTAATATTTAAAAACAATTTATCGATTAAAATTTCATTTATTACAGTGGAACCTCAGTATATGACCTTAATCCATTCCTGGTGTTTGGACTTATACCGAATAGGACGTATACCAAACCAACCTTTCCCATAAGAAGTAATGTAAAAATGATTAATCTGTTCTCATGTAAAAAAAATGGCTGGCTTTAAACACCTCACTTTTCTGGCTAGTTCCTGCTTGATTTTTCATGAGATCAGCATGTATCTTTTTAGCTTTCTCACAAATAATTGCTTCTGATATGCTGTCGCCAGCACACTATTTTTCAGTTATCCAAAGCAAAAGCAATTTCTCAACATGATCTAATGTCTTCGATCTCTGTTTAGAAATTGATTTAACCTCTTTTGCAATGTTAGCAGATTTAATAATGTCTTTATTTTTCACGGTTGTTGATATCGTTGTTCTCGGAATGTGATATGCAACAGTTAAATCTCGAACACGCATGCCACCTTCATATTTCTCAACAATTTCTTTTATCAGTTCCATTGTGATTCTAATAATTTTTTTTAGTTTTCTGTCGCTTTTCATTTGCCTTTTTGCAATTCATGATTAATAAAAATAATAAAATTTTACTTACAAATTAAAATCAGAAGAAATTTAACAAAGCTATAAACTGTGGCACCGCAACATCTAGTCTGGTCTAGTATACCGAGAGTGCTACTTGTTCATAGGTGGCGCGTATAATTGAATTAAGTCATATACCAAACAAAATTTGTTTCGTCCAAACAGGATATATTCCGAATTGGACGTATTCTAAAGCAGATGTATACCAAGGTACTACTGTATATATAAAAAAAAATACTGTAAAAATAAATTTAACTTTTTCTATTTAATTCATTATCAAAATTATAATAGGTAAATATAAAAATTTAGTTACAATATCTTCAAATAAACAATGATAATTCCAATAATGATAAAGTGCATGCACATTTGTAGAATTTATTAACCATTGACTTTTTTTTATTTCTCTGTCATTTAATTATTGATAGCAAATTTATATAGTGATATGTTTCTTTACTTTTTAATTCTTTACTTCTAATAATATAATTTTAAAGGATGGTGTTTTTAAGTTTTGGAGTATTTTTCTTATGTAGACATGAAATTGCATGAAGTAATCAGCATCTTCCCACCAAAATTTGAAAATATTTGAAAAATTCAATATGAAAATCACTTGATAGCTTGTAGATATATTTGACATAAGTACAATTTGATGTGAGCAATTTGACTTGAGTAAGATTCGATGAGTGGTTTTTATTATTCTAATTTTTTTTTGTTATGGAAACAAAGTTACATAGTTTTATCATTCAGTAGTTTTTATTTATTATGTGAACATAGTTAGTTGCATTGATAGAGTCATTGATCACTATAAATAAACTGTAGTCACCAGATACTGTACATTAATTATACCCAATGAGCAAAAATTATTGTGATATTGTCACAATGCCAGGCTACAAGTTTTAATCATATTTTTAATTTATTTAATTTAAAATATATGATCTTGATCTCAAATTAGTAGTGCCTTGTCCCTGTACATTAAACTTTTCTTGATAACAACAGAGTAATGCCAGTCATCTATGTAACTCTCAACTGGGGGAAATTTTTTGAATTGAAATCATGTGACTTCTGGTCTAGACTGGAAGTTTGTATATAGTTAATTTGGGTTTCCTGCCTCTAATCTTGGTCTAGCTCAGGTCAAATCTGGTCTTGACTTTTATCTATTTAACACCGTTCCTAAGGTTAAAGAAGGACAGATTGATAGAAGGACAACAGTGGGAGTTCTACAGTTTTTTCAAAATGCGGCCCAACAAACATGATAGTTTTTAGCACAAAAGAAGCTTTTATAATATAATTAATTTTTTTTTAATTTATGGAATATTAATTCATTTGTAATGTAAGCAAATAATAATTTTAAAAAATTAAAAATTATATAGATTATATGTGAATTGTTATTAGTAAAGAAAATAGTGTATACTTTACAAAAATATTCATCCAACTGAAAAACAAAATCAATTCTTATGATTATTTTTTTTATAAAACTTGTCAAGTTAGAATAATATTGAATTGCTCGCATTGAATTGGCTTAGGCCCCATTTGATATAATGCTTGTTTTTGATAGATTGCCTAAAGATCACTATAAAATGAGTCTACTGTATACAAATTAAGAAGTTATAAAAACTTGAACATTATTATATTTTTATTTTAAAAAAATTATATACATGGTGTTATTATAGGAAATAATAATGTTTGTTAGATGAAATATAAAAATGTTTATCTATCTTTATAATAAGTAAGAAATATTAAAAAAAATTATATTATTTAATGATTATGATGTACAATATAACAAAATACTTAAAATTACAAAAATTTTATTTTAATATACAGTATGTACCATGTAAAAGCTAATTAATTTAGTACAACTATCTAGAAAATTTAGTTTCTAAATTTATATTCCAAGAATTGTTAAACTTTTACTAATGACATTGTTAAACATCAATTTCCAGTTTCAACATATTAGGCTTCTCATTTTGAAAAATAATTTCAATATTTTAAAATGTCTTAGATAAATATTAAAGAATACTTGGAATATAAATTTGTAAACTTAATTTTTAGTTAGCTTTTCTGAACTAATTAACTTAGAAAAGTAACAGTGTAACAATAAGTATTTTGTTAAGTTAAAAGAAAAGAAGTATTTTGTTATTTTTTTTTATATTATAACATTCTAACTGATGTAATTATGAGCATTTGTTACTTGTTTTAAAGATTTTATGATTGATGCAGTCATCATATTTTCCAGGTGAATATTTTTTTTCTGGATTAAGGGTCCTTTTAATTAATCTCTCAATGAAATTTATCATTTCTTTCAATTGTAAATGTGGATAACAAATCATGTTAGTATTACAATATCTGTAATTTGGTTACCAATATAAGACAAATATTTTCATATAACATTACAATAGCACATACAGGATAATACAAAAGTGGTGGATAAGACTTTACAGGGCAATCAATCATTCAGTGACAATAAAAAAAATGTTAATACACTCTCTCAAATTCTCAAAGATAACTGAGTTACACAGAAAAAATCTTTACTTCAAGTTTTGTCTAGTTAGCACTGAAAAACAAGAAGTAAATTGGCTGGCTGCAGTAGTTTGTAGTAGTTAATGTTGAAATAGTAAACTGATTTGATTTCTCTCAGTAACTCTTCTATTTTTGAGAATTAGACAGGAGTGCATTAACATTTTTTACTAAAATATTATAAATTGAATAATTGACCATCCTGTAAAGGTTTATCTGCCACTTTTGAATCACCCTATATATTAATTAATTAATGAATCATAAATTTTAAAAAATATTTTGATAACAATTTTAATAAAATTGGATACCTTTTTAATTTTACATATGTTATTTAAGCATTTAAAAGCATTACTTCGAGAGGAGTCTATAGGCTTTACCAGATTGTCAATATTTAGATGTTCAGAAATATTTTCAAATTTGAAGAAAAAGATTTAATTAAAAATAAAAACTTTATTCCAATTATTTTATATTTCAAACAAAAAAGCTGCAAAATAGAGAAATTGCTGATATAAATTTTTTTATAGTCATTAAAACATAAATGCTGTATATGAGAGCCACTCTGAAAGTTTTTAGATACGATGACCCT